ATGAATGACGCTGCTGCTGCTGCAGGAGGCGCAGCGGTTCTGCGACGCCCCCGCCGTTGCTGACGCCGCCGTCGCGTTTTGAATCGGCGCGCTTACTTAAACCACTTCCTTTGTTAAGTTGAATGGGGGACTCGATAAGCGTCATAGCAGCATAAAGTATTTGCTCGTCCTTCGGCGGGCGCTGACGGCCCTCTCGTGAGGAGGCGCGCCTTTGGACGGCGGCGGCGCCCACGCGCCGTCTAAAAGGACGGGGCGGACGGCGCGGCGGCAGGGGACGGGGACGGGCGAATCGATAGGCAAGCGCCGGGCTGTGGACGGCCCTTCTAAGGGCCTGGTATCAGCAGCTCCTTTTTCGCCCGCCCCGACTCACCCCGCCCTCACGACGCGCAACTGTCGGCTCGCCAGCCGACGCCCTGGGGCCCAACCCCTCGCAGCCGCCTTTGCTTAGGGTGTCTCTCTTCTTCTGCACTGGGCTCTGGCCTTTCTGCTTTCATCCTTTCTTCTTCCCAGTGATGTACCCAAGGGAGAAGGTGGGCTCATAAGGTTTCAGCCCTTCCCCCAGAAACCAATGATATACGTTAAAAAAATATAGGTTTCACTAATCTGAACTGACGATTATTTTTTTGATTGATCATGTTTCCGGGCCGTCAACGTCAAAGGTAATTTATTATTCCAGTAAGTGTAGTGAATGTTTATAGCGTTAATAAAAAATATAGCTTTTTTATGATCTTCTAAACTGACGATTGCTTTTTTTATTGATAATTTTCGTAAGTGTAGTGGATGTTGTATGGTGGGAGGTAGTGCTGATTTCCCCCCGCTGGTTGGTGACATCCGACGCCGACCTACATGTCAGCTTGCGAGGTTTTGGCCAACCTGGTATCTCCTACCAGCGGTGCCCCAACTAGTCTCTAGACATGTGTGATACTGCAGTGCATGCAAGTGACTGTGTAAGTAAAGGGCGAGAACAGCACAAGAAAGAGGAAGGAAAAATCGCCCGCAGTAGCTAGCCTGAAAACTACTGATCACAGCAGTCGGCCGCTAGAATTGTCCTCCAGACGAAAGTCATTCAATATTCCAATTGTTAATGCTATCAATATTAATGAAAAATCAATAAATGAAAATACTTTTTTAAATTTGTATAAAATAAAAATTACTTACAAGAAAACATCAAGTCGGCTAGCCACTATGCCTGTTCCCCCACTCCGCGAAGAAAAAATCTGGCTGCCCTCCTGCATTCTTCCTTTCATTTTTTCCAAATTTATTTGCTTTTCCTCTTTCTTCTTTTTTATTTCTCTTTCTTGGCTTTTCTCTCTTTTTCTTTTGATCACTTTTTTAAAGATTTTTAAATGAACAATTTCCCCATTCTTGCGTTATTAAGGTCCTAAGCACTTTTCGTTTCTTTGTTAGTCGTATGTATCTTGTGCAACTATTTTTTGCACGTCATATCGTTGTCCATGTTCGCAATTTGCACCCAATCTTGTATTCAAGGGAATCTGGCTTTGTCGTTGATTTCAATAAGTTTTTTAAAAATTTGGAATTGTTCGAGGTGAATAAAGTTACAGGAGGTAGCACATGAAAGTGTATATTGCAATGATTTCATTTACCATACTTACTATAATGATGATTGTTACTGAAGACCCTTTTGTTTTCTAATAAACATTGAATTTTAGTAACATGCTATTGATTTTTACGTACACCATCTGCAAGGTCATAAGATCTATGATCTATATTCATACATCTACTCGTCTCATCATTAATATCCTTTCATTCTTTCCCTACCATTATTTTTAGAGAGGAAAGCTATGATAAGCCCACGAGTGGAGAGAACATACGTCAGTCATCACCCATACTCTAAAGTTATAAATGGTCTTCATCAGTACTTAAATGCAGTCCGTCACACCACTGCGCCCAAGGATTTAAATCTATTTTTATTTACAGATATACATTTACGGAGATTATTTCGCTGCACAGCGTGCGCAAAAGGCTTGGGTACCGATATCGAGGCGGTAACATCCAATATCAGTACCCAGCGCATTAGTACAGAGCCCACTTTCTTGTGCAGCTGTTAGCCGGGGACTGCTGCTCCGTGCGAGAATATTGCGGGGGGAGGGGGGGGGGCAGAATAGTGGATGCGATGAAAAGGCGCGAGTGTGAGGAGTCTTGAATCTGAAGAGTCGGCCGCCCTTCTCCTGTCACATGCCTCGGTCGCCACCGCTTCTTCCCAAGGGTCGCTGTCGCCGTCGCCGAGTGTGCCTGGGAGATACATGGCAGTCCCTTGGCAATTCGCTGCCGGAAGTGACTTCGCGGTTCAAAGGCACTCCACGCGGGGAAAATACACTCAATACTTCAAAGGAATTTTATAATAAAATTATTGCAAGTCGTTACAAGATATATTTTTGGTTTCATTCGTATGTGATGATTGGGAAAATGATTATGGTCAGTCAAGGGCGTTTAAATTTTCCATTAATGGTAATCTTTCAGCTGTGGGTGAAAATTGAAAAGAACGTTACAAAAGAAAGAAAATAATGTACTTCAGCTGTCTAAGTAATCTTGAATTGTATTATTAGGAACTATAATATCATTCAAATATTGCGTTTGGTTGGAAATGCGTTTATGATCCCCGTACCATTTAATAAATGCTTAAAAAATTGATAATTTCAAACATAGGGGTTTACATGTATCATGTTTATTTCTTTTTCCTATTTTACGGTAGCGACTTAAATGTTTTCGTTTTCTCAAGAAACTGATTGCATGGTTTTAGTGTTGCCGGTGCAGAGTTCTAAAAAGGTATCCTGCACGTCGGCTAGCGTAGGTGCTGCTCCGGCGGAGGCGTCTGCGGCGGTGGAGAGCTCTGACCAAGCGGGGAGGGGCGGGGATTCAAACACGGGGATACCAATCCATCAGTAGCAAACTCCCCTCCACGCGGCCAACCGCGCGCAAATTTACCTCCGCCGGATCTGTATGCAAATTTACCCTCCGATGCACCCGGTAATCCTGTTCCCGGAGGCGTCTCGTGGGGGGGGGGGGTAAAACTATGTAGCCGATGGTCACTGTCTTGTAATCCCCTCTTACCGGCTTACCTCCGGGCGGGCGAAGTCCGCGCCCTAATCCCGGTAAACACTTTCTAACCCCGCTCTTAATATTCCGGGGTTTGGGAGCTCGGGAAACCACTGGCACAACCGCGCCGGGCCTGCTGGCCCACCCCAGGATGGCCCCAAACAGGTTGAAGAGCCGGAAATTAAATGAAGTTTCCCGAAATTTCCCACGAGGAAGGTTGTTCTGCGGAAGCGGGAGGGCGAGATGGCTAAGGAAGAACTATTTCAACGAGAGTCGCCTCCGCTGAAAGCTACGTCTGAAAGCGTGAAAGAAGCCCTCGGAAGTCGAGACTTGTTTTAAACTTAGGCGCCTCGGGAAGAAACTGTCCACTGTTTTTACTTAAGAGACTGTTGTTCTCAACAGTTGACTCAACACTTTTCTTCGCGTTGTGTAACCTCAAGAACTTTTCCTGTCAACAATGTTCTTCCATCACGTTTTGTCCATTCTCTTGTTTAAAAACGCTTACTCATGTAACATCCTGAAAATTGAACATAAACGTTTATCAATATTATTTATGTCACAAAAAGAGTACTCGCAGTATACTCAAAGAAAACTAATTGTGGGTATTTTTATTTTCCAGTTTTAGTTATTCAGTGCTAATATTCTCTAAAATTTCTAATTTCGGAATATTCCACCCGAAGTAATTGAAGTGACTAGTATCTTAAACGAATATAATCATACGCTATAAAATGTTTTTCGGCAGAAATTGAATTTATACGTGGAAAAAGATTTTTCCACTTACGTTTATTATAAAACAATATTACTGTCAAATCTGTAGACAAAAATTGCTTGCAGAAATTGATTCATTGATGAACTGTTTGACACTGTCACACTCACGTTTTTATTGATCTAATGATATTCTTATTACTTTATTGCTAGGAAATAGAGCTGCGAGAAAAAAACGGCGAATTTTTTTGGCAGAAAAACTCTCATTACAGGGCCCTAGTAACGAAAGAATGGATAAATAAAGTTTTTAAATTTAGGAAAAACTTTTCAATCACGTGGTGTAGCCAGAATCCATGTTTGGTGGGCCCTTCATTCGGAAAAATCGAGTGACAGCAAAACGTCTATCCATCCATCTGTGAACAACGCTAGCGGCTAAATCGTTCAGCCGATTTTCTCCAAAATTGATATTCCGTGATCGAACTGACTGATGTCGCGTCCCCTTGAATTTGAAACCAATATTGCATTTCTGGGAGATACTTTACATAAAAGCCCTGGGAAATTTTCAAAAAGTGGCACCATCGTTTTTGATTTAATTTTTGTGTTGGACGTTTAAGAGAATGATACGGATTTCAATGGGGTTCTTAAAAACCCTGATTTTTCAAATCCTCCTTCATCTAGAATATTAAAGATAGAGATTTTTTCCTTAATAAAATTTGTTTCTAAAGATAGATTTTGAAATAAGGTCAACTACAATTTTTCGAAAATTTGAGTACTTTTCCGCGTAAGTTCGTGTGAAAATATGGGCGAGAAAGTACGTGGGGTTTTAGAACCGCTAGTTTGTATTAAGCCATCTATGTTCCGTAAAGGGCATTTGGCGCCGTTACATCCCGGGGTTCTTAGTCGGACACACACTAAGGACTCGCGATGTCTCGAATTCGGTTAATGACTTCACGTGTTTACCGAATTGGCCTGCGACGCCGGGTACGCGGTCGTGGCCTTTCAGTAGAACCACCCCAGCATTAATCCGGATGGCCGATGGAAACCACAAAAACCCTAGTCAGAATGGCTGGCACGAGGATTGAACCTGGGTTTCCTCCATGAGAAGTCAGCGCGTTGGGCCCTGAGCCATTTCGCTCGGTTAATGACCTTTACTTCTCTTCTACATAACAATTAATTCACATAACATAAACATTTTCTTCCAATGACGAAAGTAAAGCTAGGGCAATTTTCTACGGCAGATGGTGGTGTCAAAGGGCAGGAGGAAACTCTACGGAGGTAAAATCTCTCCTCCATATCATTTGCAATCTTCTCTTCCACGAACTTGCGTGTGAGAAACATCGAGCTCTAAAGCGCTTTATTCTCTAAATTGAAAATGTCGCCGGAAATGAATGTTTCACATAAATCCAGTAAAGTGCGTCTTAACCTCAGAGGAGGTAATGAAAGGAAAGCAGAGAATGGAATGTTGGAGTGTGTTAAGAACCGCATGGAGGGATCTGAAGTGCAAACGCAAATTTAAGTTAGAAAATTTAAATTTTGTTTAAAGTTTAAAACGATACACTAGTAAACTAACGACATTTTGTAAAAAGAAAACATTGCTTGATACCTGGAATTACTGAAAACACCATTTTTTGTCAAATATATATTTCAAGCATTATATTATAGATTTGAATACATTTATTCTTAAAACGTCTGCATGAAATCGGGCAACATTTTTATTCTTATTCTTATTATTTAAAATATTGAGTCGCCCAGAGGTGCAAAAAGACCAAAAGTAAGAGTTGAGGTAAGAACAAACCCATTTTTGTAAGTTAAAAAAAAATATCGACAGTTGATTTATTACGCTGAAAAAAAATTATAAATAATTCACAGTATCATTTCATTCATTTCGCTGTTATACATGTCATTCTTAAACTAATAGAAGTGATTTCAAAACAATTTGTGTGTTCGTGAGCCATCAATTCCAGAACTTCCATTATAAATGACACACTTGTCTTAATTTGACTGTGAAACTAGACCTCTGAGCGGAACCGAAACCTTGCTCAAGACATTTAAACGCGCTTTAATCCGCCCTCCGGTCTGAGAACTGTAACTCAAACACGGCGTCTGACGACTGCTGGGCTCTTGATTGCGAGCTCCGTCGCCGCCCCCAACCATCGCGCACGCTGCCTTGTCTCCCGCCGCAACCCTCGCGGAGCGGCGCGGGGAAGGACGCGAGGGGCCGCGTGGTGCGAGGGGTGGCGCGGGGAGAGGCGCAGAGGTGGCGCGGGTGGGGAACCGGTGACGGCACGGGGGGTGGGGAGCGGGGGCAGGCGCAGGGGTGGCGCTGGAGACGGTGCGGTGAGGGAGCTGGAGGCGGTGCGGGGGCAGGCGTGGGTAGTGAGGCGGGCGCGAGGAGGCGCGGTGGGGGGGGGGGCGCGGGAAGCGGCGTCGGTTGCTTCGCGGGAGGCGGCGCGACGATGGTGATGCGGGTTGGGAACGCGGTGACGGCGCGGGGGGACGCTCAGAGGTGGCGTGGGTAGGGAGCTGGAGACGGTGAGAGGGCAGGCGCGAGTGGGAACGGGGGGCGTGGTGGCGCGGGGGGGGGGGAAGCGGCGTTCGGTGGCTCCGCGGGAGGCGGCGCGAGGGTGGTGTCGGGACGGCGCGGTGGGTGGGGAGGGCGGGATCGCGGCCGGGGGTTGGCGCGCCGGGCGGGGCGGAGTGAGGGGAGCGGGGCTGTGAGCGAGACGAGGCGCGGAGCAAAACGCGGAACGGGGGTTGGCGCGGGGTGGGGCGTTCGCTTCGCACTTCCACGCGCCCGATTCTTCGGCGCAGCGCGCGCCAGCCCTTCTTATGCATATTAATAAGGCGCAAGGCGGCGGTGAGCGGCGTCAACCACCCTCCGCCGCCAGCCCGCACCTGCCACCGCGCCTGTCGCGCTGCGGTGTCGCTGCTGCGCAAGCAGCCCGGGGCCGCTTCTACGGTTGCTGCGACCTTTGAAGAGCTAAAGAACGAGGCTGTTACAGAAACTGCGCTGTAAACGTGAACGGTTTTGTTCTAGATTAATTGGTTCCACGGTCTTCGAGCCTTTTGGCTCGGTTGTGGCGTTACATCGGTCCTGCGCAATTAAAAAAAATAATGAATGAAGCTTAATGTGATGTTGGGGGATGTGTTGGCTTGTTTGTACCTCTCGCATAAACAAACTATCCATGCCTTACGAGTTATTCGAGCTCACTATCTATCGTTACGCGTCATTCAAATGTTCATTCAAATTGTCAGCCGCTCATGAATTATTGTGAAAATTATCGAGCTGATGTGTTGGATGTCACTTTCGCTTCGTCTAATTGTCTTTGTAATGCAAACATTGCAATCGTGAACTCTTCTTCCGCACTTATTTTCTTTACTTCCTGCCTACATCTCATCTCTTCTCCGTTTCCTCTATCGATCTACTTCTTTCGCTTTTCCTTATTACTGACTTGTGGTGCTGTTTAATGTTCCTCCTATGACCGTCTATTTTGTTAGCACTTCTTTCATCTTTAAACTTTATCTCCGGCCTAAACCCTAATCTCCATTTTCTCATAATATTAAAGCTTCAGTTCTTTGCTGTTTGTCCACAGCAATTTTCTTCACCACTCCTGCTCTTAACATCTCTTTATGTCCCCCGGTTTCAGCTCGTCTCGTCTTGTATAGAGGCTGCGTGATAAATTCCAACGATGACGACTCGTGATGCATACTAAGAAGACCTGTTCTACGAAAGCAACATGCAGGCGAAATATTTGATGATGGAAATTGCAAAATTTACTAGTAAAATTAATTATTTGCATGGTGAATTTCATTGATAAATCTCCTGGTTAAACATGAACCCGTGTCTTTATAAAATGTATTGTATTTAATCTTATTCGCTATTTTTCTATTGTCTACTGAACATTCAGCTGGGAGTCACTCCACACCTGCAATTCCCTTTTCGCATTATAGCCATATTCTGATTATTTTGCGGTACTCGTCAATTTAATTTTCCACTGACCCTTGCTGGTCATCGCCCCTTTATCACTCGTACTCTTTTCTGCGAATCTACGTAATCCGACATCTTACAATCAAATACTTTCTTGTGCAATTATTGTACAATACTATATTTTTTCCAACGCGCGTCGAGTGTCACTATTGTAGTGGTAGCGGTCGTTTATGTCGCGAGCATGCTTTTCCTCGATTAGTTTTTGGAGGTTGCGCCGCCTTTGAAATGATATTGTAGCTCGTACGTCGACAGTTTATGCAGTTTTCGAACTCGAAAAAAATACTTTGAATTGATTAATTGTTTAGGTATTCCGGAATTGTCAAGTATCGGGTCTTGTTTGTGTAGTGCATGCTTTTGCTCGAATGATGGCGGCGATCTTTCCTCCGCTGTATGGCGACCTACCGTAGGCCAGTGGGATTTTCCTCTACCAGGTATCTCCCACCTGCGGGTCACCGCCCGAGCCGGAACAAGCTCTATGTTACCGACCGCTCTCCCGGCATGTGAGGTAAATGATAGTGTGTGTGTAAAGGGTGGGGATAGGCAAAGAAGAGGAAGGTGACATCGTGCGCGCTCCGTGGCTCTTTTGTTAGGGCAGTGTTCCGGCATTCGTCTGGTGTTGATCGGAGAAAAAACTACCGTTAGAATTCTCATGCAGACAGCGACTGAATTCGACCTAGGTAGCTAGCCAGTGTCGAAATTTCTGCCACCGGCCGCGGGACTCGAACCAGAACTTCCCGATCAGAGGGACAGCAGTGACATTAGTTGATACCCTGAACCGACAAATACCTTGGACATTTGCCAAATCTGTGATTGCTATTTAAGCAGATCAATGTATAGTTTCTTTATTTGGTTGCTGTCTGGTGTGATAAAGATCGCGAAACATTCACTAAATAAACATTGTCTTCATTGTTTTGGTTTTTGGTGAATTAAAAAAAAAATAATCCTTTTTTGGTTTGTCAGGCTTTTCAAGGGAATCATACATAATGACATTTGTATACAAAGTTGATAACATATGACATTTGAACACATCTTTAGTTTTCAAATAAACATTAACTAAATACAGAGGATTGTCCAGGGAGGTTCCTCTAACTACTATAATGTATTTCTAAACATTTGGTACTGTAAATTGCTGTTGACGTAGTAAATCTTTAGAATTTCGACTTTTAATTGTTGAATTAGGGATGAAAAAGCGTACAAAGCCCAAATCATTGTTTTATTGAGACTGTAGTGCGTTTCCCCCCCACTTTTTTTTCTTTTTAATTTGCTCGTTGCGAATAAACCGAGGTGCATTTACTATCTAGCACAGAAACTTTATTTTGCATAATTTGTAATTTACCAATTTTCTGGAGAAACTTGGTCCATGTCACGAAACTTATTAAATACAACTGTCCTGACATTTCCAAATCTCTCATACACATGTATTTGCAGCCTGAACGCAATGTGTGTTGACCGGAAAAGCAGTTCCCGGTAAAGATCACGCATAACGCGTGCAGTGAGTTTACACTTCAACACCGACTAGAGTACTATTTGTGAACGAATCGTGGAATACGGAACAGTTACCTTCGTCTGGATTTTCGCTTCGATAGACTGTACAAGAGAATGTGGCATTGGATTTGAGAATTTTCATGCGAGAGCGAGGTGAAGAGGTTCTTAAGAGCTGTGTCATACGAGTGTGTGTCAGATCACATGAGTCATCTCATGAGCGATCTCCCCCGACACTTCAATGGCTTCAACTTAAATAAGGAAAATCGAAATCAGAGGTCACTTTGCAGATACACGTTATTTCATTAAAACATATTTATTCCATTTCCTGATAATCACCGTAATGTTAAAAAAACCTCTATGCCTATTCCTTAACATTTTAATAATTTTGAAAACCCTTAAGCTTAAACCATAGAGAGACATTATTGAGACATTTGCGAAGTTAAATATTTAAATAATACGTTTTTGAAAGAGGATTAAACACTTTTCATGAGTGTTACATTGCGGTGGAAGTGGTCGTAAGAGAAGGCGAATAATAGTAGTAGTAGCAGCTTCCACCACACCCACACACACGCCACCCGCACCCCACCACGACCACACCATCACGACCACCACCACCACCGCTGCCACCACCACACCACGGCCACGACCGCATGTGTTTTACCTCCGTTCTCTGAAAAAATAGTTTATTTTATTACATGTAGAAAAAACGTTATCCTTAAGACATAACATATTAACTTATCTACGGATTTTGATGAGCTTAGAACGAACTTTTTTCTGTATGGAAGTAACAAGTACTGTTTACACTTACTTTCACGCCGTCAGACATTCAAAAGATTGAGTATCCGAGAGTTCAACATCAATTGATTGCATACGTACAATGTTTTGGAGAAAACATCACGTATGAGAGTGTTTTTGTTGGAATTCAATTGAACGATAATCTTGTGGCGATGTGCAACATGCGGTGTTCATTGCCAAGTCGTCGTCCGCCCGTCACAAGCCCGCCGTCTCCACTGCCAATGGCGCTGGCGCCCCCACCACTCAGCGCCGCCCCCGCGAGCGCCGGCCCTTAGAAATGCATGGAATAATTTCCGCCCGGGGGCCCGCGGCACCGCGCGGCGTGCCGAACCGCATCGGCGTTAATTGCGCGGGTGGCCGCGAGGCGCGCCGCGGGCGGGCGGGTGGGCGGGGACTTGCGCCTCTCCGCCGCTGCCAGCGCCACTGCCGGCACCGCGCCACCGTAACTTATTCCTCTGGCATCGCCGATCTAGCCCATTAAGGGGCCACGTAAGGCACGTCATGCACCTCGTCTATTTCTTCGCTACCGCGTCTAAAATTGAGCTTCTCTGGTGGTGCAGGGGTTTTAGTTTTATGCTACTGGACTGTAATTCTCTACTAGAATCTACTTACCAGCCTACAATACTCGCCGACATTATTAATCCTCGGTTTCTAATCATTTCCAAACGAACGCCGTTGAGTAGTAAATGTTAGTGAATGTTGCGGGTAGTGAAGGGAGTCGAATATTCTTAATGAATCGCCTAGTCACACCCTTCTGTCCTGCGTAATATAGTACATGAATTGTACTTGGATTTAGATTTATTTAGTCAAAAAACAGTAAAAACTATATGTGACGTACGGGAGAGAAGATCATCAGCGCACGTTTTCTTGAGTTTCAGAATCTATTATCATTTTAACTATAAATAATTGAAAGTAAGTAAAAGTTAAAGATAAACGAATAAAAATAAATTTTAAAAAAGCAAGAGATTAGCAACAGTTGAAAAATAGACATTTTTGCTCCCGAGGTATAGAAAACTTATTTGCAATGGTAAACGCACTGCAGATTTGATTTTTCTGCATTGCTAACAAAATAGTAACTTGCCCTTACCTCTTCTCCTACCACAACAAGCTAAAGGAGAGTTAAACAAGACGTGCACATATTGAACGTACATTTACGTCCAGAAGCAAAACTAGGCACCATCTCATATTTTGCTCAATGTATCAGGGAAATTGCATAAAAACCTGATCGAGATGGGGGCCATTGATCCGAAAGCTAAAGTACATGATTTGTTACATGCATGTTAAGTCTTTCTTAAAAAAAAAAAATCAATACAAATGTAAACTAAATCATTTTATATCACTGTTTTCTTAAAACAAACATTATTTTTCTTTTTGATGATGTTGTTCCAAGAACATTAGTTTTTCATTTACGAAGTTCTCGAAATTTATATTGAAATATTCACAGAATCACAAGTTCTAAGATTCAACATAATCGAATCTTCACAATTCTTAAACATTTCTCTTTTTATACAATTCCTAATGTTTTAAAAGATTCCAGTCGTTTTAAACAGAAAATATGAAACAGAAAAGAAATAATGATGTGTATTCAAAATAAATAATAAAATCAATTGACCCAGTGCCTAAAAACAAGCCAACAAGTCCAGAAGAGGTGTGCAGCAAAGTAGTGACGTGTGGTGTGGTGGTGTGCGCAGGGCCGGCTCCTGGGCAAGGTGGACGCGTACTTCAGCTCCTTCCGGCGCTGCAACTACCCGCGCGTCTCGCCGCAAGGGGTCGTCGAGATCGTGGAGGAGTGCGGCCGGTACTCACGGTAAGTGCATCGCTCCGCAGCTGCGCAATGCGACGTTCTGTACCCGATCATTGTTTGTTGAAATGTAATGGCGTCACACGAATCTGAGGGGAGGGGAAAAATAGAGAAATAAAAAATGAAGTTCGATACTTCAGGATTGATTGACATTTCCTATCACGTCAACTGCTATGGTGATTGTTCCCGTTAGTGAAGTGAATGTTTGATTGATCGCGAGAGATGGCTGTGATCTTTCCCCGTTGGGTGGTGAGATCCGTAAACTATCTCACGTCGGAAAGGGGCAATTGGGATGTCTCCCCATCGGGGCTCCGTACCAACTGCTATAGTGAACGTAGAAAATAAGTTCTGGAAATTAATTCCCTCCTGAAAAATAATGTATCGCCACAGTTCAACAAATTCCAACACTAGGCAGCTTGAAAAAATGTCGGCCAAAGGCCTTACTAGAAGTAGTCCCCTCTGGTGAAGGTAGGAGATCGGTAATGGGCACCATACTGATAACCTTATGCCACTCAGTTTCACTGTGAAAACGAAGGCCGTGTCCTGCGTGGGCTACAATTGCGGCAGCGACGCGATATTGTATCAATATTGGTGTTACTTGATATTCCGCCGGGTAAAACACATAGGTAGGCGACAGGAAGCACGCAACTGTCACAGTCTGGCGATGTCCGCCGTGCCGCGCGGAAATGCAATCAGTTTCATTAGTCTCTTGCACCACCCCACTTCCGAAAGCATCTCGTAGGCGAGTAAACGGGCCTTCAGAGATTAGACATTATTCCAACAGTGCAAGAGATTTAGATTTAGATTTATTTCGTCAAATAACAGTAAAAACTGTATGTGACATATGGGGGAGAAGATCACCAGCGCGTGTTTTCTTGAGTTCCAGAATCCCTGCCTATCATTTTAACTATAAATAATTGAAAGATGAGTTTAAGTTAAAGATAAATAAATAAGAATTGAAGGGTGTCAATTCTGCATTACGATACTTAGACACGGAGGACATTACAAAATCAATAATAGAGAGAGCCCGAACTGTGGAGAAGGATCTAGAGAAATTACTAATTAAAAAGGACGAAGTAAACAATTGAAACGAAATTGATTTTTAACCCGGGAGTGCCCGCCATAGATTGTGCGATAAAAGTCATGGCAATTTTATGTTTCTGAATTATTGCGATGCAATAGTTGTCTAATATTTCATGTATTCCCTCATACTTTTCTGAGAAGTCCTGCCCTTCTATATTTATCCTTTCGTTAAATCATTTCCCGTGAGCATATTGAAATTTGATCGCTGCGCTGCGCGATATCTGTCAGACACGTTGCCTGCAATGGCGCTTATGCAATGTGAGCTCCTGGCGTAAGCGGTACGTGTCATGGCATTATTTTCAGCCGTGTGTATGAGAAGTGCCAACAGAAAATGTAATCAATTGTCTTATCTATGATCGACTGTCCCTATTTCTTAGGAAAGAGAAAGATGATATGCTGAGGACGTCTGCAAGGAAAGGGGAAAAATGCGAACCATGCAAAACGGAAATAAGACTGACTTTGTAAATATTTTTGTGAAAAATGTGAAATTTATATTTGTTTAGAACATGCCAAAATCATATGTAGAAATTGTATTTAATATTATTTAGTGAGTTAATAATGTGTTTAATGATTTTTGCGGGTTCTTTCTCAATTTTTACCTTTCTCAAGATAAGTATTTAGACAAGAGTTTTGCAGTGTAGTCTTCTATAATAATGACATTGGGGAGCACGTACAAACTAAACAGAATACATACTTTAGTAAATAGAGCTTCAGATCATTCGCACTCACGAGTTAAAACCAAATAAAGATGTTGAAATTTTCAGTTCGTGCTGTTAATGAATTTTGCTGTATCTCTATATTAATAAAATCAGTCGTTATGGAGAGATTCTGTTTTTATTTTGATATCTCTGGACATAGTGAACCAACATTGTTAGTCCCAAGAAGTTCACTATAACAGGAGTCGACTGTAAATCTACATTTATTGTTAGTATTGATAGAATGTTAATACGAAGAGAGGTTGGGATAGTTGGGGTAGTTGATGTTTTTACAATTTTTATAATTTTTAATTTTTACATTTACATTGTGTTACACGATGATATTCACTTTCAATTTTGGTTGCACATCTTTTCATATTCACTTTCTGTTGTAATAAAATGTTCATTACTTCATTGTCGCAGTCCGAAATTAAATCTTAGGGAGAAATGAATTTAGGATTAGAACTCTTTCCTCACGAGTTTTATTAATTTCCGAAATGATTCATTACTACCTCGTAATTAAATTTCGTTCTAATCCTTTCGTAACATTTGTAGCCAGCTGGCACATCCCATAATGAAAGGAGATTTCTGAACGTTTCCAGGTCAACGCCTCAACGATCCGAAGAAATGTTGCAGTATTGTATAGCATTGCCATTCCGTTTATGATTAATTTATTTGCGATATAAGGATGTCAAAGGTTAAATTGATGTGCTATGTGGGGAAATCCTAAGACGCGATAAAATTAATAAATTTAATTTCAGTGTACCAGAAGTAAATAGTCGTTTTTGATATAATTTACGTGATCACAACATATTGAACTAAATTATAAACGGAAATGTTACATTTTACATTTACAAAATTCTTCTTTGTCTCTGATATTATGACGATCTTGCTCTATAAATTTACGTAGTCGTTAAAGTTGACATTGTGAGTTAAATTTGGGTTCTTGGAGGTCTTCTAGTGTTTTAATCACTGAGAAGCGTGCCTTACAAAATAATTTCCATTTCGGGACGTATTTCTTGTCAATTTTTGAAGTATTTCCTGTTTCACCGTGTGTTATTTTAAAACGTAGGCTATTTATGCTAACTGTTTTTAGAAGCGTTGGCAAGACAGTGCGACAGCTGAAGTTTGCTGTGAACATAAATTTCGTATTATCGACAAAAAATTGATAATTTGTTGAAAATACCTGGAGCCTGAGTGAATGGAATATCCCCAAGAATGCTCCGAAGTTGATCCCTCTTGTAAAATATCCGTTTCTCTTGGGCTTAGAGCATTTTTCGATAGAGAAGGGTATTGTGCAACTTTTGGATGAACTCGCAATCGCCAACAGCCAACGGTGACAACGGAGTGTTGACAGCTGGTAAGTGCTCTCGTGACGAAGTCGCCTGCCTTTCACGGCAGATGTTCCGGTTTCGATTCCCGTAGAGTTCGAATTCCCCGAAGAACCTCATGTGAAATTTGTTTCGAAGAAGCGTGTTTGCCTACTTCACAGGAGCCGTCCTACCCACGTCAAGCGTCCTAAACCTTAGTCCAATTGTTATTCCTTCCCACTTCTGGCCGCTGACGTAGGAAGTGCGTACGCGGAAATGCTACCTGGCGGTCTTCTTGACAACTGACTACGACGAGATGTGACAAATGACATTCTGGAAATGGAGGATTACTCCAAGCGCAAAGCGCTCAACGCCCCCCAAAGGGCTTGGAGACACGTTGCGTCTATCTAGACTTAACAAACGAAAAACAAAATATTTTCAGCCCATAACCCATGAAAATACATGAAATGCAATTAGAGGAGTTCAGAAAAATTAATTTTCTGACGATCTGAATGAATGTTATAAACAGCAATTACAATAGTAACATCATCCAATATTGCAATATTACAACCATACAATATAAATAAAATCACACAAATATAATAATGTGAGCTCTTAGTTTCAATTGAAGTAGCATTGCACAGAGTACACCTCGTCTTTAAGGTTTTCTCGAGGAAACAAATTCTTCTCTGACATTGGTTCGGGATAACGGCTAAGGAAAACATGCCATTTGCATTTCAATTTTTGCCCAGCGCCTAAATAAAGACGTTGATTTTCTAACGTTTTTTGTAAAGCTACCAATGAGCGGAAGGGTAACGATTATACCTCCTGCTTTTGCGGCAGCCGACGCCCCCAACGGAGAGGGAGAGAGGTGTGCGAGTGGAGCGGGCGGGGGTGTGGGGTGTGTGTGGCGAGGGGGCAAACCGTCAGAAGGAATTTCGCCGCGCTGTTCCGGCCCAACGCGTTCCATCGGACGCCATGGACGGCGATCGTTTTTTGTCTGATGCATTGCGGCCGTATCTCCGGCACGAAATGAGATTTCGCGCACGCGATGGGTCGGAATCGAACTCGATTGTGACGGCCATCCATCATTGGCACCCCCGCCGCGGGATTAAGAACAGCGCTCGCTGCCAGACCAGCGCGCGAGGCGGGGTGGGGGTGGGGGCGGTGGCGAGAATGCATGCGGGCTGCGGATGGTCAGCGCATTGCTGGACCCCGAGTCAATGTTGAGGTCCGGGCTTTCCGAGAGGGCCCTAAATAATACGAATTTACTGTACTATTATACTAAAAAGGATAAAAAAAAACTACTTTATATTTTCTTAAACCAATAATGAATGTACAACAAACTTTTGCGTATTCGCAAACTTTGAGGTCTTAGGGTATATCAATTCATCTTGACATGAGATGTCTGAAAACAGTACAAATGAAGATAAACAATGTATTTACATTACATTAGTATTATATTTGTAAACTGATTGCTTTGGCACAATCTACACTTCCTTCTGGCTTTGCTTTCTCCCTTTATCATCACGTGCTCTACATAATTATTGATTGATGATTCTGGGCGCATTAACTGCAAAGTTCATTAGCCTCGTAAATGAATTTTTTTAACGCGCGAGGAAGCGGTTATTTTCCCCTGTTAGATGGCAAGATTCAACGCCAACCTATCTGTCGACTTGCACGTTTTCCTCAAGCAGGTGTGTCCCACTAGCGGGGCACCGCCTCAACCGGAACAAGCTCTTAGCTCCCGTCCAGTTCCCCGGAAAGTATAGCATTCACCGGTAAATAGTGCAAGCAGCGGGTGAGGATAGGGCAAGGATGAGGAGGAATGATCACGTCAGACACCGCAGTGACAAATTTATGCTCTGAGCCACTTCTGTCAGTATCCGTGCATCATAACGTACTTCTTTAAGTAGGGAATTGTTTGAGAGTCGACAAAAATGGAATTTTCAGTCTCCTGCGTATTTTACTTACATTTGTACAGACCACAGATTTCATTAGTCATGGCATTCCCCAAGTAAGCAGAATTTTTGTAGGAGATTAATTACGCGTGAAACATTGTTTATACAAATTATTTATAGTAAAAATGATGGGAAGGGATTCAGAACTCAAGAAAACGTGCGCAGATAATCTTCTCCACCATACGTCACATACAGATTTTATTGGTTTTTTTACCAACTAAAACGAAATCTATACAATGATGCAACAATGCAAGATAAGACACATACCTCCTAAACGGGATAATTAAATCAAGAACGGAAATATGAAACGGTAGTTACACGTCTGTTCCTAAACTATTACATTCTAATTGCATTTGTTCTATCACGTTCAGACCGTATACCCCACTAATTCCCAAGTTGCGTAAACGCAACATTGTAAATTATCAATACTAACCTACGTAAAGACTTTTCTACATAATAAATATTCTGAAATCATAAAAGAAGGTTCAAACCAGTTTGTTGAGTAATACATGATAAAAAAGTTTTAACAATTAAATTAAATATCAGTAGCAGGATTCCTACTTATATCTCAAAATTCAACGAAGTTCAAAGAACTTAAGTTTCAAAATTCAACGAAGCTTAAGTTACGCTCGGATATGAATGAAAATGCAAAACCTGATTAAATAGCATGTCGTCATAGTGCTATAGTGATACATAAGAAATTTATATCGACTATTTTTTTTTAATTGGTAATTTTGCATACCATTTCGCGATTGTGTTTTATTCTACCAGAAAAGTATTTGTTGCAAATTCAACCAAAAACGCACTTCTTTCACTTTGTCATACCATACATATCTGGGATTCTGACAATCTGAAGAAGTTAATTAGTACATCAGTGCTTTTACCCTCAGTTTTCTTTCTGCCAGTCGAGATACCTGGCATTAAGTCCTTTACTTTAAGCTAGCCAGCCTGAACGGGACACTTCATATTCAAAAGGTCACAGTTCAAACAAAAGTCATCTCTTAACAATCTACGCGTCTAAATCTTGCCCATACTTCAAATGAGAGTCTTGAAATAGATGTCATCCCCGGCCCACGTGTTCCACGCGCTGCGTGCCCGGCGGCGAGCAACTCCAGTCCTTTCCTCGTTCCCAATTACGCGCGCCCTCCTTCAATGCGCCACTCACCATTTGCCAGGGCACCAGTCTCATTTCATTTCAGAGTTGCAGCTCTGAAGCGATGCACGCATTCCACTAAGGGTAGTAAAATTAAATTTTTAACAAATCTCAGATACGCAGTAACTTACTAGTTTCGAAGGTCACGCGTACATTTCATTAATATAGTAATACATCTAATTTGTGTGGAAAAACCAGACATTTGATGAGAATAATTTGTGAAGTAGCCCACTTATCGAAAATCCCCATTGAAGCCTGTTTAGCCATTACGGAGAATCTTTGTGTAATGCAATCTTAGACGATTATAAATACGTCATTTTGATATCAGTCATAAATTTTCTATATGCAGATTGCATTATTCAAGATCTTGAGCCATAATTCATTACATAACGGTGTAGGAAATATTGTCTTTAAAAGAGCACTTCTAAACTGAACCTACCTTACTACTGATGTGAGTAGCACTAAACTTCAAATCATTTGATCTGCACAAATTATGACACGTGAAAATTATTTCTCTGTCTAAAATTTACCAGATTTTTACAGGACTAATCACAATCCGAGAAGTGGTAAAAATATATTTAGAACTATTCTTATGCCGCAAAGGATAAAAATAACAGGACCCCCCGGTCATAAAAACATTCCTTTAAACAGAAAAGTTCAAACTAAAAAAACTGGATCAAGGAGGCATCTTAAAAGGGAAATTTTAATTAATTCAGGAAATCCAAATCTAGATCCATGTATTTAAACAACAAGACAAACATAACTAATGGCTGAGTAAACCTTACAACAATGTGCACTCTTGGATCATGTTTACTGCACGATGGTGCTACCATTTATTAAATACGGGAGGAAACCACAAGTTAAAAAATATTAAAGAATTTACCGCCTTCATTATCTGTTGTAGCATTTAATTTATTAAGACATTTTTGTAAACTCAACTTTAAGCTGGAGTTTGTAACAATCCATTTATAAACAAACATTATTACATATTATTAACTACTTATTAGAACAGTGTTCTGGGAGTGATCTGTCATTTTGTAATGTACATTTAAGAAAACACGTTTAGTTTGTTTTATTAAATGCGCACACCATAAAATGACAACCCACTTCCAAAACACTGCTAGAATGCTTAGTGATGCGTGTATTGTCTAATGGCAATGAAAAGTGCGTCGCATCGGAAGGCTTCTCTTGAGGGGGGGGGATGCCGCTTAGAAGAGGCGTGCACCGCCGCTGGAGGCAGGGGCA